CACGTCTGTTACCAAAATTTACATTAACACGCCAGACTAAATCACGGAGTATTTCTGCAGAAATCAAAAACATTACTCTTGAATGAGTTATCAAGAAAAGAAGAACTTTTTAAAAATATGAAAGCGTCAATAAAATTCTTAAGAGACTCAATTGATGAAAGATCGTTAAATGAAATCAACTTCATCTAACTGAAGATGAGTTATTTATAACTCGAAATAGCTATTTGCAAATTTTTTATAACTCGAAATAGCTATTTGCAAATTTATTTAATAAAAATTTTTTAAATATTAGCAAAATAATATTTAAAATTGAATGATGTGTGAACTTGTACAGAAGAAGCATCCAAACGTCTTGGAGAAAGTAAAGGAATGCCGGAAGAGGAAGGCTACTAGTGAAGTGTCCGACATGCCTGCAAAGAAAGCCTGCATACAAGCAACTGTGACAACATGCACCCCACTTGGTAGTTCTGTAATTTCGCAGGCGAAGGTCGATCAACTGGTGACAAACTTCATTGTCGAGTATCTGGAGCCAATGAGCATCGTCGAATCTCAACCCTTCATTGAGCTTGTTAAAGGTCTCCAGCCAACAAAGAAAGTTTTGTCGAGAAAAACTCTTAATGGTTAGTTCAATCTCTATAATATAATATGATTTTTTGTGGTTCGTCACATTAATTGCTTATTTTGAACGATGTCAAATAAAAGTAAAGACAATCCTTAAGACCCTACTATACTTGCAACACGCGTCTTTGTGTTTACAGATAAGTTGGACAAACTCGCGGACACGATGAAGGAAAGCATCTGTGCAGCGCTCAGCAAAGTCGATCATGTGTGCACAACAGCGGATATCTGGTCATCCAACAACAGGAGCTTTCTAGGCATCACAGCGCACTGGATTAATCCTGATACTCTGAAAAGACGTTCAGCGGCTTTGTGCTGTGAGCGCATGAAAGGGCGTCACACGTATGATTGCATTGCTGTTAGGTTAAATGCTGTACATACGGCGTATCGTATTAACCACAAAGTACTGATGACAGTAACTGACAATGGTTCGAACTTTGTTAAAGCATTTAAAGAGTTTGCAAATGATGGTAGTGTAGTTAGTGATGATGATGATAACAATATTGCTTTTGTTGATTTTGATGCATTGCTAAGTGAACCAGAGCAGGATGAGGACAGTGACTTATATTTACCCCCTCATCAGCGTTGTGCTGCTCACACATTGAATTTGATAGCTAGTCATGATATAGAAAGTGCAAATAGTGATGCTGTTTACAAAAAACTCTCTCGGTCA